GAAGCAAAATACATGGCTTGCCAACAGGGGTGATGCTTGATATGTATTACCAAATGCTGGAAAGAATGAAGAAACAAAGGGGTGAGGTTGGTCACCCCAATAGAAAGTCATGAGCAATTACTCAGATCTGAGACCTTGGCCATTTTCAGATCCAGAAACAATGACTGTGGATGTAGTAAGCCAACAGGGAAAGAATGCTGAAATACAATGACAGTAATAGCCTGTCCATCCAAATAATACAGTGTTAATCCCAGGAATGTGGGATTAACTGCTGCTGTCTGTCATAATCAGTTGAGATCAGAACTGTGAGGCCACCTGGCATAACATTGTGTGGGTCAGGCAGGAAAATTAAGAAATGGCTAACACCCTGGAGGTCTCGGTAAGACACATACAACAAAGAATGGAAATTAAAGTGGATTGAGGGGTTTTCCTTACTATTCTTGAAAATGTTTTAGGGATCCAGCTTAGTTAAGGGTGTATAAGATCATCTCTTATGAGCTATAAATTGTAATTCTGTAAGACTCTTTGGCATATTGTTCATCTCACAATGTGCTGCAGCTTGTATACCAGAGGAGATAAAAGGCTCTCGTTTTGAATTGATTCTGAAGTAGGAGAGGGATCTGCAGGAAATTAGTGCTATAGCTTTATATTTATGACTGGCATTCTCATGGTGTGAAGGTGTTAGTGATAAGAAAAGATGCATATTCCCAGTAGGAACATCATAACACAGCCCTCAGGTTTCAGAGCAAAGGCATGCCACCAGCAACATAGACCTAGAAGCCTTGTGAAAAAGTTTGTGATGTGTTGTTACCTGAGTCCAATGGAGACAGAATCCTTGACTACATGATGAATGTAGGGAGAATGTCAGAATTACCCATTGTGAGCTGGGTTCTGTTAGACCCATAGAGATAAATAGGCAGGTAGGCATGGTAGCAGTCCATCATAAGACTGAACTGTACATGTCAGATCAATCCTGAGCAAGACCAGAAGCCAAAAGGTAATCTTAAGAGCAGGGCACCCACACCTCATGTCATGTATCATGACAGCATCAGCACACCTCCTTCAGTTCATGCCTACAAGAATCTGAGGTCCCCAGTAACCAACTGAAGGAGGAAAAGCTTTAACATGTTCTGTGGGTGAGTCGGCTCAGCATTGAAGGCCAGCTGAGAATGGGCAGCGATTTTATTATTCTTGGAATAGGAGGGGGGCTTGAGACACTCAAGGAAACATCATTCCACCAGACACAGCTCAGAGTTATTACCTGTTCTCATTTTGGGTGGCGTGAGCAGTGGCTGAGACAAGAATATAGACACAGTCACTGATAAAGACACACAGCCCGACCGGCTGTTCAGGAGTCTGAAATGGAGGACTGACAAGTGGTGGCTAAAAGGCGCTTGGTGTAGAAGGACATGGGTAAGCACAAGGGAGTTAGCATTAATGTGGGGAGATTTTTAAGCACATATTCATGGACAATGGAAAGCATCTATCACCTCAACGACCAAGGGGACACGACGGCTTGGTCAGCGGGAGTTAGGTCTGGGCTCAGAATTTCACATGGTAGAAGCATATGAATGAGCCACACCCGGGCTCCTCAGGAGCCTGTCTCATGATTCAGCTCCTGTTGCTGCTGCTGCTGCAAGTCAAAACTGCCAGCTGCAGAGCCCAGCACCACTCCCATTATGACAGCTTCAAAGAGGTGACCTTCAGTGAGTGAGTTTCCTTGATGGAGATTCACG